TGTGTAGTAAGTAATATATATATATATATATATATATATATATATATATTATGTTTTTGAAAGAAGACTAAAGGTTGGATCAAACGTACAGTCAAGAACTTTAATATTTTGAAATAGTATTGGGATTTTTAAGTTCTTGTTTTCTTAAGCTTTTTTCACATGATCCTTAAGAGGTTTTTTATGATTATTATCATTGTTATTGTTATTATTATTATTATTCACTGCTGAAAACAGTTCATGAAAAATGTGATACAGTGCTGCTTAATGATACAGTGTGTAATTTTTTTCAGTTTTCTTTGATGAACAGAAACTTTGAAGAACAGCATTTATTTGCAATGGAAATGTTTCGACCACAAACATTTGAACGGTAGTGTATAGCCTGTGTGTGTGTGTGTGTGTGTGTGTGTGTGTGTGTGTGTGTGCATTTCATGTGAATGGGAAATGGGTAATGCTGTCTGGTTGACTTCTGACAGTTTACAAAGTGCTCGTTTCACACGAGCATTGTAGACATTAGAAGAGGCATGCAGGAGTAGAGACAGGGTGAAAGGAGAGTTCTTTAACATGAATCTTTCATAGCGTTCAAACTGTTGAATATGCTCACTTCACAGTGTGTAAGGAGTTGCACACCATAGTACGCTGTGTGCCTCAAATACAAAGAAATCGCTGTTCCCCTAAGTACCAACTACCAGTGTTTTAAATATCTATGTATTTGTTTATTTATTGCATATATACTCTCATCTGTCTCATGCCATGTTTTATGTAGGGTGATAGAAGTGTGTGTGTGTGTGTGTGTGTGTGTTTAATTAAGCTACATCTATAACTTGAATTTAAACTAAAGACTATGTTATCAGGTATTAGTCTATATATAAATGATGCAGGAGAAAGTACAGGTGATTTATGGTAGATAGATTGCTACATTTAATTCATTGTGGACATGGTTTTGGAACAAGTGTAAAAGTATTCTTGTTTGTCTTTAATGTGACATTAATGGTCATACGAGTCTATTAGGAGACATGATTGAATGCCATCTGAATGTAAAAATGTTAAATAGGTAATTTGCTAAATAAATGTACTTTACATTAGACACATTAATCTCCCATAGCGTGTGGTTTTGTTTATCACAGACTTCGCCAATGATGATAAAAATGATGCTTCCTAAGCTGGACACCTGACATCTTGTCTTAAAATGCGAGAGGATGGATAGTGCAATCAGCCCTGCGTCAGAGTTTAGTCTCTCCAATGGATTTGTCAATAGCGTGTTCAACGTTTCAGTTGACGAAGAGAGCAAAGCTGAGATCTCATGGATTCCAGAGTGCAATTCCTCAGACTCCATTATTCCCGGTCAGACGCTCAGAAGAGAAAAACAGGAACCGGTCCGGCGCTCCAGGATGGCGGCCATCTGGAGGATCCTGCAGCGCCGCAAGACCCCCTGGGACCTGGATAGACGACCTCACTCCGTCATCCTCCCCGGTGAAGCGTCCTTCCTCAAACTGTCCATCACTAACAAAGTCAGGCCCTTCAAGAAACTAAAGTCCCCATCTGTTTTTAGAGGAAAAGCCGGTAAGATTTCTGATGCCAAATTCAACACTGACCTGAAAGACGAGGCTGATTATGTGTACATGTGCAAGGACTCTCCTTCTTCAGACTTCAAGCATGTGTTTAGGAATAAAGCCAAGAGACATTCATTCGCAGGACACACTGCAGACTTCTACTGTTTGTTTGAGGACATCGCCCCCGCTGGAACCCCAGACAACGTCCAGCAGGAGACCAAAGACACCGTTAGCAACCAAAACGGCTGTAAGTTGTCAGAAAGAGTCGTTTATACAAAGAAATCTCACCCCAGCTTCTTTAACTACAACAATTCGACAGAACAGGAAGACTGCTTTACGAAGCAAAGCCTCAAGATACCTCAAAGAAGACGATGGGCCAGAGGGGGTGACGTTTTGAATTACTTGAGAAGAATTTCCCTCAAAGAAAAGGGAAGTCAGACGCTGGCAGAGAGTAGTTTTGAGTCAATGAATGCCCTGGACAAAACCATCGATTCTGACTACGGCTCGGTCAACTTTGAACTGGTCAAGGATTTGAACTCTGCACCTGAACAAACAGGGATTCATGGCAAAAGCAGCCATTTTCGAGGCCTTCTCCGATTTTTCAACACCGTGGCTGAGACTGCAATGAAATGGAGAAACTCGTCCCGCTCGTTCTCCCCCCCTGAAGGCCAGCAGTCGCCTCTCGGAGTGAGAAAGACACAGGAGTCCGGAGAACTCGTGCCTTTGACAGTCAGGAGCGGTGAGCAGAAAGCCGATACCTCAGTTCAGGGTAAACCCACGTTATCTGCTGACATGAGCAAGGCGGTCTCGCCTGATAATGCCATGGTGGATTGCTCTCCTCCTGTGGTGCTGAAGGCCTGGAGAACATGCCCAGACTCTCCGAGAGATAACAGCTCCCTGTGTAATAACTCGGATGAATCCCAGTCTCAGCTCAGCTCAACTCACATCTCTCTAGCCACCATCGAGAGCCACCCGAGATATGAAGAACCAGAGCCACCAAAAGAGACACAGACTGGCTTTGAAAACACGGCGATCCCACATCACTCATCTAGCAAAGCTGTTGATGAAAACCAAGATGTTTGCACGGATAGGAAAAAGATGAACTGCCCGGAGGACGTGTTTAAGGTAATATAAGCTGGATCGAAAGGTGACGTTTTGAGTAACACAGAGTAGTTTTAACATCCAAGCTGTTTGATTGTCAATCTATAACCTATATTATTTCCATAACATGCATATTTCTTGGTGAAACGGGATGAAAATATAGCACAGGACTTGATTTTGTCCATTGATAGCAGATTGGATGATGAAAAGTGGTCTCTATGTCATGATAAAATAAGGATTGGTGTGATCAGCTGAAAAGTATTAGAAATTATTACTTTTTAAAGACCCGAGTCACAAGTGTGCATTTTCTAGTTGGTTTAATGAGTGTTGCATTGCCTTTGTTCACACTGCACGGGTAATCCGATTCTTTCCTTAAATCTGACCGAATTTTTGTGCATTATGGGCAGTTTGCTCCATGTCTGTTTTCATAGTTTGAAATTAAACTAGAAAATGGCACTTTTTGAGCCTGAATATTTGTTTTCCACATGTGGGCAGACCAAAAACTAACCCTTTCCCGCTAATTGTCAATCAAAGATCAACCCGTTCTGCCATCAACTCTTCAATTCTGTGCAACAGAATAATAGAGATTGCTTCAATGTTACAATAAAGAAGTGTCCTGTGTCCGGAGGTGATGTCCATATGGCAAAAATACATACCTCAAGATGCTAAAGTACACATGTGGTTAGTTAAAGACATGTATTCAGTTAATCAGGCAAAATTATTTAATATCCTTCAACGCATTATTAAGCCAATGATTGCAGCTTGTGATCATAATGATTACAATATAAGGACAATATTTAGCGGTTGAAAGGGCATTATCTGAAGTCTTCACAAGCGAGACTCGATCCAAACTCCAGTGACCTCAGGATGAGATAGAAACAGGAAGGCAGAAGGAGGAGGATAAGCATAGCCGCTGTTCATATATTGATATTTTATTAGTTTGTGTAGTTTTATATATTTTCTCCAACAGCCCATAGCTATAGGCACACAGAATGGTGCATCAAACAAATTCATAAACAAAAAATTTAAATAATGAATCAGCTCCATGGTGAATCAAGGGTTTAGTACGTTGGTGGCGATGGTCACTCGTGCAACATAATCAATGACATACTTCCGAGTCAACGAGACGGAGGGAAGTTAGTGAGGGAAGGGCATAAAAAAAGTGGAACGCAGCCCAGAAATACACGGGTCAGATACGGGAGGTTGGTGTTCCTCCGGGAACAGGGTTGAAAACCACTGACTTAATGAAAAAGCTAAATTATCATGGTGTTATATTCAAAGTGGAGTGTCTATTTACATTAACTCCACCTACCATTGTCTGTTTAAGCCTGGGGGGGAGGGGAACAAAACAAAACTGGGACAGTGGATTTAGCTTTTGTTTCACCCCACCCACCAAATACTATGAATACACATTTTCCCTATCTCACTCTTCTCCCTTTTCCCATCAAATATCATTTATTTTCAATAAAATTTAAGAAAACATTGGAAAAAGGGAAATAAAGTGACTAATGCATATTTAATTGTAGTATAAAACAGTAAAGTGTTTAACAGTTAATTTAATAGGCCTATAACTGAAATTGGAAGTGGTGTCCTCACACTGATTCCATGCATCCAGTACCTGTGTGCGCTGATTTTATTCTTGTTGCGACAAATGACGAAAAAACACATCAAATCTGATCTGACTGTTCAGAATGAGATACATTAACTAAGATCGTATTTTAATCTAATTTCAAGACACCTCCAGCAGGCTTGTACAACAGAACTCCATGTTTAGACTGGAAAAAGCTAAAAAAAAAAAAAACAACGGTTTGTTTGTTTGGTCTGCCTGTGTGAACAATAGCCAAACCTTGTTGACTGTTTTCAGATGCTGTTCTTCACTTGACTAACCCCACTCCACTATTGATGTATACTACTGTAGGAGATGCTCTGGATGCAGTGCAATGTGAAATGCAGTGTTGTTGTAAGGTTACCTGACGTGCTGCAGTGATTTTCAGACCCTGTCGCGGCCCCGGGGCCAGTCGCCTGCAGATCCTCCTCTCAAAGCTCTGCTCCAGCGGTGTCGCTCTCTGCCGCTGCCCACCGCACTGTCAGCCCTGGAGCCCATGGCCCTCACACACATGCTCACTCCTCCAGGTACAGCGCAGGCCAAAACCACAGCCGAGTGGTGCTTCACATGCAGTTCAACTGCAATCAGTTTCCCTGATAGTCCTGATTACAGTTTCATGTTGTGGTCTGAATTTTTTGTATAGAGCACTTTGGCTAATACTAGCAATCTGTCCTGCAGCTAAAACCATGGCTAAATCAGTCGTTCACCGCATAAGGAACAGCAGCACAGGATCCAACAGACGGAAGCGGATTAGACCAGGATCTGGACCACTGCACGTCAACATGGTGAGTGATCCGGCCTCTGTCCTGAGACTTCATCTGATGGACTGGTTTGTGTTGTTGAGTCAGGACAAATGAATAGTACTGCATTAACAATTGAGTTGCAACTGTTAACGGGTTAGTTGAACCTCATGTCCTCCTCATTTGTATTCCTCTTCAAAACAAAAAAAGAAGATATTTTTAAGGAAACCTGACAGATTTCTGTCCCCCAGTTAAAGTAAATGCAACCAAAACGTTGTAAATGTAATCCATTTGAATCAAGCGGTTTTATCCAAAACTTCTAAAGAGACACGATAGCTTTGTGTGATGAACAGACGTAACCTGGGTATTTATTCAAATATAAATGCAAAAAATGTATTCCGTAAATCTTTTTTAAACCCATGTTTGTGACAACAATAAAAGCCCAAAGATGAAGACAGGTCCAGGTTTCCGACACAAATGGTTTTTAATCAAAGAATAAACACAGGGTATCAAAGCCAATGTAACAGTGTGCACTTAAACACAAACAACTGACAATGAGCTGAGGAATCCAAGGAACTTACCTATACACAGATAACGAACAGGTGTGATAATCAAATGAATTGCCGTAGTAACTAAATAGAGCGAGAAACTTGAACAAAGACAACAGGAAATGAAATAAAACCAACTAAAAGTCCATGATAATGAAAACTAAATTGACAGTTTGTAACAATGTTAAGCCTCACCTAGGGGTGGGCGATATGGCAAAAATATATTTTTTTTCAAAAATATCACGATTTTATCACGATTCTTTGTCATGTTGGTTACAAATGTTACATGTACTTATTATTATAATAACAATAAATTATGCATAATTACATGCAAATAACCCTAACAATATAACAAGTACATGTAGTTATAAATAAAGTGTGACCCAAGCCTTCGGAAAAAGCCGTTAGACCACCTGCTTAATGAGGCCAATCTCCTTCAGTAATTACTACACGTTTTTGTTTTACTTTTGACAGCTCCAGGGCTTTTGTTAAAACTGCAGATCATACTTTCACATTTGTGTATCCCTGCTCACAGATTGAGCCCAGTGCATTATGGTGTTGAAGTTTTCACAGCACTTGTTCTCTGTTTTCTCTATCATTTAGCACTGTTTTTTTTTCTTTATTAACTTTTCTTAAGAACTCATCTTGGCAGTGGTGAATTATCACTGTTCTGCTATGAAATCAGCTGTGTACGCAACCCTGAGAACGCAAAAATGGGCAACGATATGATACTGTGATACTTCAAGAAACTGATCTAGAAACTGATTATTATTCATAAAATTAAATTCAGCACCAAAAGAGCACCTTTAAATTCTTGTACCATTTGCTCCTGCACACTAGATGTGAGTTTTGTGGATTAGTGTCTGGTTCAGGCATCTAGCGGTGGATGTGTAAATGAGTGAAGTGCTTAACTTCTGAATGAAGGGCTGATGAAGCTGCTCGAGTGCTGGTTTAGCGGTGAGCGCAGACGCTGTCAGCTTAAGCTCATGTTCACAGAGGATCGCTGTAAACCACGGAGTCAAATCTCACCCTCTCAGTTAATTTGGCATCACTATTAATATTGTTTCCTAGCTTGCATTACGTAATGGGTACATTTAAAGAAATTAGTCATCGAGTCATGCAAAGCATGCTGGGAATCCGAGATTAACTTTGGTGTGGAGTGGTTCTTTCCTCCTCAATCCTTTACACTTGCAAGACTTTGGTACTTCACTGACGAATGTTCTCAGCATTGCAATTTGTGTGAAGAGATCATAATAGCTTCTCTAATAACAAATTAGACACTAATTTGATCAGTTGTTACCACATTGATAAAATGTCATAGATTTATCGCTGCTTAACCACATTAATGTACGTGCATTTAGATTTGTATACCTTTTGTGTTAATGTGTTGTTGTTTGTTTTACTTCATTTTGTTCTCCTTCAGAAACTCACAGACTTACAATTAAGAAGATTGTGCCAATGATGTGTGATTATGTTTGATATAGACAAACGGTTAATGGTGATTTAATTGCAATGGCAGGTGCATAATGCATCACCATTGGCTTTCAAAATGATGAATATATGCATCATTCATGATCAATTGTAATTAGCACAGATTATGTTTGCAAGACCGAGCACTAGCAGACGTTTAAGGCAAAAGTTCATAACGTTTTTGTGGATGTGGAAATATTCCTTGACCCTGTGTTGTTGAGGAATGTATTATTCATGCTGATGCTGATGATGGGTTGTTATCGAGGAGAATCAGACTCATCAGATGTTAAACAGTGCGGGACATGACAGGTCAATCCTGCTCTGTTTAAACAGGCCGTTTGTCGTCCACCAGTGCCGTGTGAGGGATTTGTGTCTTATATCGGAACAGAAACATTTTCTCATTCTCATATGGATGCTGGATAGGGCTGATGCTCAATATGACCTTGAACAATTCATCTAAAGTGTTACATTTTCTCCTAAGGGATTTTAGGACAAACATTTGAGGCATGTGAGAAGATATAAAGCTTATTTTATCATGGCCTGTGTTTCCTGGGCAGTATCTTTTACTATAGAGCAGTGGTCTTGTTTGTTAGGGTGGTCAGCATTAAACGTGATTGGAGAAGAAGTAAGCAGCTGCTGTTACGCACAAGCTCTCAGACAGGAAGTGTCATTGTTTTCTTATGTTCGTCAACATTTTGTCCCGTCTGCTGTTGTTTCCTCAAAATGTATGCCTACATGACTTAAGACCCGTTCACACCAAGAGCGTTAAATATAACTATATTATCATCCACACCGATGTATGATATGGTTCTGTTGCTGCAGCACTGAAAAAAATTATTCATTGAATTTATTCAATTTTTTTTAAGGTAAGTGGTTGCAATCAATTTATTTTAGCTACATTTAAATAAACAGATTTAGTTGACTAACTTTCAACAAAATGTGTTTATTTAAATGTGGCTAAAATTAATTGATTGCAACCACTTACCTTAAAAAAATAGTAAATTCAATTAATCTTTTTTTTTTTCAGTGAGTTTTCGGGTCGGGTAGGTTTGTTGTTATTGCTATAGCTGTGATGTGGAGTGCTCTATTCTCATAAAATTTAAATAGTTATTTAAATTAATATATATATGCTGCTTGTTCCATTTACTTACTTAAAATGAGCTACAGCAACACAATTTCTACACATTTTGTCCTAACTTCTTTTAATTGTGTTCAATCTACATATGTCAAATTGAAGTTTACCTAATCCATTTATGAGAGTCATGTTGATGCATTAACTGAGACTAGGTGGTGGATTGTTAGTTTCCAGCATGCTTTGCGTATGGCTGGATCAGGAGAGTAAATGCTGAAAATAAGTGTAATTTTATGTGTTTTTGACATTAACGAACGCCTCTAAATCAATGTCTGCCATACTCGCATCGACCAATCAGCCACTAAGACCATCAATACCCTGTCGCGCTACCCATAACCATGTGTATGGTCACTCTGCCATCAACACCGGCAATAATTAATGTCGCCGGACATAAAAATTATCCCGGACGAGCCCCCATTAAATGTTACGAACTTTAAAAGTCTAGGAGTTAGATCGTAACACTTAGAAAAATAGAAATGAGCATAAGACACACGGATAAAGCTCGATTATGAATAATTTATTACATAAAGCCGAAGCCACAAGAAAATGTTAATGGGATGCACTATTTACAATTGCTGGAATGAGAATAATAATAAAGAAAGAATTTAGTAGAAATAAAGTTAACGAGAAATTACCACCAACATGAAATACCCCTGATATAGGGAAAAGGAACTTGAGTGGCGCCCAAATCAAAGAACAAAATAAAACCAAATAATTTCCATAAAGCTCCCCAAGTCCTTTAACCTAACTAACAAAAGTAAAAAGGAGAAAAGAAACCGAGATCTTCAGCGTATTGACACTCTAATTTCCTATTCTTATCAATAAAAACCAAAATACAAGGAAGGCGCACACCACTTTCCTAATGTATCTAAACACTCATCATTACTACGTGCAGAGTGTATATCGCGCTATATGCTTACCTGTTCTCTTTTGCCTGATTAAGGAGAAAACACTGCACTTAACTCAAATACACTGCAGACTAGGTGTTAGACACATGACATCAGAGAATAGGATGCAAAAGTACTTATTTCGGCAAACAAAGCATACACAAACACACAGCATACCAAACGAGCACAAACGAGCCTCTCCATGAAGTTCGTGGGAGGACCTTTAAACCAGCAGGGCGACAGCAGATTGGGCGAAGAAGACGACATCACAACGATGATTGACAGGCGACACGTCCAATCAGGAACCTGAGAGAAAGCAGCAGAGCAATGACAAAAGAGGGGGGGGGATGACAAACACACACACCTATACGCATAGCACGTACCAGTCTGACATCAATGTTTGTCTTGATTAACTTTTTTTTTTTTTTTTTGTAGTTTACTACGGATATTTTTCTATTATTCATTAGAATTGTATTGGAGTTATTATCCATGCATTTCTGAATCTTAATCATTACAATTAATTACTTAATCAAAATTACTTAATCATAATATTGGCTTATTCAGAACAAGGTGAATAATTAGATTACTGATGTCCATATAAACATAGTCTGTGAAGACTTTATGTGCAAACAAAAGAAATAGATTTACATTTAAACTCTTCAAAACAGAATTATCCTGAGTTAAATGATCTGTGTCTGTAGACGCCATTAGTGTCATGTACTGTAAGGTGAACTCAGCAACAAAGAGAGAAGGACTTAATTGTACTGTTTACGACAAACAAGCGAAACACAAGGGCTTGTAACAAATGAGTCCACTGAGGGCAAGTCTGGACCCATGCGCAGTTTTGTTAATTAAACATAAACACAAATTAAAGACTTGACAATAAACCGTGAAACAAAGACTCACCAACAGCAGGTTACATTTAACAAAGGCAGACATGAAACAATGGGAACATGAGGGCTATATACAACACAGCCAGGGAAACTCTTGATTGGTTTCAGAGAAAGA